CCCCAATATATATATTTTTGAAATTGGGGCCTTTTGCAAAGAATGAGAATGAAACATGCTATGTCAGCTACATAAAGTCTTCAAAGGCATACGATGTCCAAGAATAAAGTGTACAATTTTAAAAGCTTATAACTCTGAAGCTCAGTATGACAAAACAGAAACATGTAACAATACGGTGGAATTAGACGCTCATCAATTTTCGCCATGTGGAGTTATTGGCATTATCTTAAGGCTTGTTGATTTGCCTTGCTTTTGATGAAAAAATTAAATCCACATCTATCTTCAATAGAAGTCAATATATATTAGCGACAGAAGAAGTGGGGGTCGTCTGGTATCAAAGATAAACTTAGCGAGAAAACAGTCACCAAAGATTTGTGATTTCCAAAGTGTGAAAGCCTTTGTTTATGTTTTATGGGTTTTAACAAGAGAATAAAGGTGTTGATCCAAACTGTTCATAAAAATTGGCCAACGGGTGGAAAAAAGTTGATTTCTAACATATTGACAAGCGAATGATATCACACGAGAACTTAAATAAAGTGAAAATTGAAACACAACCCGAAAACGCAGGTGTGCTGAAATTAACATTCAACACTCAGGGGTTAAAGATTCAACAAAAAAATAGTGCAGTATGAAACTCCTTACAAACAAAGACAATCTGAATGTGGGCTCACCCACAAAAGACCACATAATCTCATAAAGTTAATAATACATAACAAAATTTCAAGGTAATAAGACTTACAGCAACGTCCTAAGGCCTTTGCAATTAAACTCAGAATGAAAGTAGCATCCCCCTTCTGGTCAATCTGAAAAGACAAAGGCAAACAAAACACATCTTCAAAAAGAAGAAGTATGTTGTAAACAACATATTTAATAAGAACAATTCAATATCTAATCTAGGAAAAAATATTTAAACAAACATGAGACAATAATATGTTTGCACACATTTTGACAGGATCCAGATTTTTAAAGCAATGCCATTATAAAAAAACCACAACTCGAACCTATTGCAGTGTTCATAACACTTAAACAAAAGAAATAATGGACAGACAGAGCATTTCACACCTTTCCAGCATTCAGCCTTTTATCAAGATAAAGCATGTTATGTGCAACAATTAAGGAGAGGTAGTTATAATCAGAGCCAGTTTTCAGTTTCAGTAGTTGTATGCAAAATTTTGTTTATTAGATATTCCTCTGAGAAACATTGACAATAGAATCCACATTTGTAAAGTCCAATAATAGTCAGATTAAGGGTTTTGTAACCCATTCATATGTTTGCTATACCTACCCCATAATAACAAATACAATGAACACAGTAAAACTGTTGATTTTTTAAAAAAAATTTCGGGTAGGGTGAAAGAGACAGATTTAAATTGAGAATTATTGGTGATACAAAAAGTGACTTGAATTCTGAATGGCTCATTTGCCATGTAAGAAAAAAATGACGAAGGGTGTACGTCACATAGGTCACGATGGGGTTAAGATGAATGAGGTTAAAAACAAAAACAACAGTAATAATTAGTTTTATGCCCACTAACCTCTTTTTCTGAGATCATGAAGCACATGTCCACATCACTTGACTTCGTAGCAAATCCGGTCATTGAAGATCCAACAATAAATAGGCGACAACCTGAGAACAATATGTTCATCTAAACCAAATGTGAAATGAGCATAAAATATTTTGAAAGCCCACTTATCACCCATTTGCAGTCAAAATGAATCATCTTTAAAATAACAATTAATAATAAACAAGGATTCCTTTATACGCTATTGCTCCTAAAAACAGCATTTTTTCAAAGTTTGTAACTGAATTTGTACATTACATTCCAGCTTCTCAAAAAAATTAAGCATAGTAGCAAGAAGTCACATGAGTCTGTAAGAACAATCCTGAAATTACCAACCTGGAAAAGCCCCCTCAAAAATTGTATGAAGGCTTTTACGAAGCTTCATTTTTTTCTTGAGGTCCTCATCTGTCATCTGTGCTCTAAGGAAGTAATTCCAAATGGCAACAGTAATCTGTGAACAGTAAAAAAAAAAAAGATAAAGATAAAAGTGTGACCCCATGACATCCCTCTAAATACCCCAGGAGACTAAGTTGCTGGAATGGAAACCTGTGGGGAGGATGAAGACCAGCCCAACTTTTATTATATCTGCAACTCAAACACTCTTCACTTAAAGGTATCATAAAGGATTAGGTGTCAATTCTAGCAAGCATACCTGTCAACTTACACTCAAAATAGATAATAAGCAGAATCTTATGGTCTGACAGAGGTTCAGAAAGAATCACAATAACAGTTTTTGTCCTTCTTTTTTTCCCCCATTTGTCATCAATAAATGATCAGTCAGCTGTTCAGAAATACTAAGCCCAAAGTTATGAAAATTGCTTTATAATAAATAAATAAAATAAGATCAGAACTACTTAAACATGACTACAGTCGTTGGCAATCCAGCGGTTAGGCTGCCGGTCTCGTAACTGGAAAGGTGTTAGCTCAAATCTTCCTCCGGCACGATGTTGTGTCCTTGAACAAGACACTTTACACAAATTTTCGTATTTCACCCATGAATCACTATGGCAGTGAAAGATCTCGTCAATATGTTAGTGTTCCAGCATGTGAAAAATGGTACCGTACATTGGATACTCCCAATGAAGCTTATAAAGTTTTACAGTATTATAAGTCATACATTTTTTTTTGTAAAGCATATTATATAGCCCACTTTCGACAACTGCTAAACATTATCACATAAATGCACTATACTTTTTATTAACCAAAAATAAGTAGCTTAGTACAGCGAAAAAACATTTTCAGGAATCAATAAGAAATATACATTATTAGACACCACTGTTCCCACTTGTAACAAAACAAAACAGTTTATTCAACACCATTCACCTTCTCTGTCCCTTGGCTCACTGGGACTTTATAACGCTTTCCTTCTTCATCTGGGGCCACTTCTTGTAAAGAGAGATGAGAGTCTGATGTGCGAGCTTTCTTTGATGGTTGAGGATTTGCAAACGGAGCATGGCGCCTTTGTGAAGGTAAAAAAATAAACATAAAGGCCTTAAACATCTAGTTCTCCCTTGCAAAACTGAAGGCGAAAGAGGCAGAGGAAGACCTAGAGCAACGTACACAGGGAGCCTAAACAGATGGGTTATTTATTATTACAATCCATGAACATCTTTTAAATATAAACAAACCATAAAGAAGGTAAGAATAACATGTCAAGAGCAAAAAAACCCAAAAAACACTGACGTACCTTTTTCCCCTGTTATTAGCGTGTGCAGGTCCCCTTGGCATTTGTACTGGAAACCGAGGTGGCATACCACCCATAGGTTGATAACCTGGCATATGGTACAGTGGAATAAAAGGCATATTATGCCCAAAAAGTGGGGATCTCTGCTGAAATCTAAAGCCATTGGCGAGGTTTGGGACCTGACCTGTGTAGCCAAAGTTGTTTCTTGCTGGGAACATTGCTCCTAAAAAAAAATAAAACAAAAACACAAGTTATGGTCATAACGAATGATAATGAGAGAAACAGAAAAGGCTGAGATTCCTTTCATAGTTTACTGTTAAGTCAGTAAAATGATCATATATTTGCATCCCAATCGTGATTGTTGACAACATCAACATCTTAAACTTTATTGCATGTTATGATCATCATAAACATAAAGCGTCAAATCTGAAATAGACATCGGCGATCATAGTTCTCCATCATTTCTTCATGCGTATTGCTCTAAAAATCCTATATCATCCTGGTGTTTCCACTTCAACCATCTGTTCAGGTATTTCAAATAAGTTTCATCATGTACAACACTAAATAATATAGACAAAACTAATAAATGTTTTAGGGCTGTTGATATTTCCAAACATACTCTGAATAAGTTATTCCCAGTAGACTCACTTCTCTGTAGGCTACCTCTAGCTGTGAGTAAATTAATAATTTTCCAATCAGATTGTATTTCACTCATTCATTTCCATGTGTGTCAAGCCATGCCACAAGACCTGTATAGTCTCGACCTTATCACATAATTATGTAGTTTCAAAAGAAAGTCATTTATTGTAAATTGGCAAGAAGTGCAAAGACTGCGATGTGAAAATTGACCTTTCTCTTAATTAGCTGCGAAATTTGGGGGTGTTTGGGTTCTTAGATGTTTAGAGGCCCCTCCGAATAAGGTAAGCCGGAAAATCATGGTACCATTCGGCAGGTTTAGGACTACCGACCAACCCCCTTTACTTCAGAAAAACTCGACCACCACTAAAGATATATATAGGAATTTTTTTTCTTCAAGTGAATGCCCCAATTTCTTCTGCGTATACTAATGTGTGATAGATGGGACTGACGGCGACCAGTCTGAGTCATTTCGTCACACCGCAAATCCACAAGGTTGAACGGAGAAGGTCAGTCCGGCACACGCAAACATCAGACGAGCACTGTCCTGGCAATCACGATATTTGGGGGAGGGTTTACGAAGTTAGAAAATACTAAACTATCTAATGTAGATCTAGATTCAACTAAACTAAAGTAGATTATGGTGTGAGTGGAAGAATTTTTTTTTGAAGAAAGGAATGATCATTCTATGCTTGCTTGTTATTCAGTCGTAATTTAGATCTAGATTTAATAAAGGGATTTTGGAGACCCCGATACAGGGCAGGTGGAAAACCTTTCCGATTCTTCTTTTTTCAAGATCTTGATCAAGATAGATCTAGGCTATGGTCAGGTCTAGGCCCAAGTAAGAGAAGAGAACAAAAGAACTGATCTGAAGTGAGAAGAGAGTCTACAGTACAAGTTAGAATAGAATCTAAGCCAAGAATCTTGATCTTTTGAAAAGATGCAAATTTCTCTTCAAACTCTTTGAAGGAGGAGAACTTGGCGCCCACTTCCATCTGCATCGCAATTTTGTTACGAAGTTCGAAGTGAAAATTCAAAGGTTATTTTTTTAATGCAAAAGAGTTCTGTTGTCACTGGGAATTGTTCCTGTGCCTATCCCCAGTGTCACTGGGAATAGTCACTTCGAAATGAAAAATAGATTACTGCCAAAGTCAAGCAGTCTTGTTTTCCCGCAGTACCTTTTGAAGGCATTTTAAAATAAAGTGGAAAGTCCGGGAACGTTTCCCGAACCACAATTTAAGTATCTGAACATATAAATATAAAAATCTCTAGCTCTAGAAATTGAATTCGATGCAAAAAATGCATCTTCCCAGTTCTGGCAGAATGGCAAAATGAAAGATGATGCCAAGGCTAAATCTCCCAAATAGGCATAACCAAAAAATCCTGAGAACGGCAACCGTTTAGAGAAATAATAGAGGACAAGTTCATTTTCTCGAGCTTTCAGAGAAATAAGATCTTACATCTAGTCACTTTGTAAAAATAAAGCTAGAAAACTAGAGATCACTAAATAATGTCAGGCAAGGAAAAGAGATGGATGTAGCCTTGTTTCACTCTTTTAATAAAAAAATTTATTAGGCTATAGATCTTTTAGCCTACGTAGTGAACGTAGCCTACCAACTACGTTCACAGTGCCCTGAATGCAGTTTGCAGGCGCTGTTGACGCTACGTTCCTGGCACTCAAGCTTCGTTTAGACGGAGCATCCACTGCCAGTTTAAGTAAGCTGGTTTTATTCAGTGATGACAGTGACTTAAAAATTTAATATTTTGGCCTGCTTCAAGTGTTCCATTTCATGAAAACGAAACAGCGATCCTTGACCGATCGACCATTCGCCGTTTTCCCTTACACTGAGCCCTGGCTCAGAGTTCGCCAGAGTAAGGGAAAACGACAAACTCTCATATTTACGCAACAACGCATTAGGATAATATATATGACAAAAATGTATAAGCCTATCAAGATGTTTCAAATGTCCTATCTCGGGTCTGGGCAAGACTTGGGTGCGACCTTGTGTTAGCATGTGATGGCCCGTGATAAACGAGTGTAAACAAACGTTTCAGCGCTCTCGAGTTCAAAGCGTGCAATTTTGTCTGTGGGCAGTGTATGTGAGAGAGAGAGCGAGAGAAAGAGAAAGGGAGAGAGAGAAAGAGTGAGGGAGAAACAGACAGAGAAAAATAGAGAGAGAACGGAGCGAGAGAAAGAGAGAAGGAAAGAGAAAAGGGAGAGAGAGACAGACGGGCAGGAAAAAAGATAGAGAGAGGGTGTTTGTTATATAAAAGAATAATTGATTCCCATCATTTTTTCTCTGAGTCGATTCCCAGGCTGACCCGTAGCAATACAGTCATTATTGTACACATTTTATGACCAGTCCCATCTTCATCATACATCCAATGAAACGCGGACCTTTTGGTTAAAAAACAAGGCTTATTAAGTATGACGGATCCCAATTCCACACAGGGCTTGCACCAATGCACGCTTTTCCGTAGCAGGAAGCTCTAGTATAGCCTAATCAAAATTCTAAATATTAAAATTTGCTTCCAAGTTCAGTTTTTATCATCCGGTGTTGCCTTCAACCCCACCCCTCCTCCCGACTGTACCTTTTAAAAAAAAGAAGAGGTGGCCATAGTATAAGGGAGTGTATACAGACCCGATAACCGGGAACAAAGTCACAACAAAGTAAACAGACCCGGTAGGGGAACTCTTTTGTGATTTCGGAGAGTTTCAGTGCCCTCTTGGCTCAGGGTAGACCTAGGTACTCTTCTAGATCTATGGCCTAGGTCTAGATCTAGATCTAGGCAGACAGACATAAATCTTTGATCTAGTTTCGCGGCTTGCCTAGATCTAGATCTAAATGAAGAATGCGGATGTCTTTTCGATGAACGATCGTTTTTCCTCCGTTTTAGAGAACTGGAGGAATCGCAATTTGAAGAAAAGAACAATGTCATAATTTCAATCGAGCATGACCCTCTCTAGTCTCTATTTCTCTCTCCTCTGTGCATCGCTCGCCTTCTCTTTTTCATAGTTTGTTTCTGTCTTTCTTTCTCCCCACCTATTTCCCACTCTATCTTTCTCTCGTTCCATCCTGCCAACTGGGGCATGTCATACATATTGCTAGCACCTCTCTCTCTCCCTCTCTCTTACACACACACTAGATTTCTACCGGGTCTGGGCGCAGGGTTGGTGATTTTTTTGATAAAAATAAAAAAAATCGATTTTTTTGATTTAAATCAGATTTTTTAAATTTAAATCGGATTTTAAAAATAATTTTTTGATTTTTAAAAAAATGTCGACACAGTTTGGGATTTTTGGTGGCTAAAAGTATGTTCTTTTAGTTCAAAATGCATTGTCTTTATTTTAACTAATGATCAATTTAAACAACTGCAACTTTAGAAAGCCTTAATCTGCTATCAGCGAATTATGGCTACAGACAAAAAATGAAGAAAATGTCAGTCTAAAAGGAAGGGGGGGGGGGGGGGGGGGGTGTAATTATGCATAGATAAACTTGCATTTTATTTTTTATTACAGTGTGTGTGTGAGCACGCGCTTGTGTTTGTCTAAAAAGAAAAAGAAAATACTAATTTCAATTATGAAAAAAAAAGTAAATTGAATACTGTATTATTTTACTACTTAAAGTGACAGGGGGGGAAAGCAGACTTTTGAGCAATTTTAGTCTACTAAACCTTATATCTGTTTTATAAATCCAAGGAAAGGAATTCTGAATGTTTAAAGATGTAAAAACAGAAAACATTTTTCTCTCGTTTTTTTAAAGTGATTCAAATCACTGAGTTTTATTTTTAAAATCAAGTTGATTTAAATAAAAAAAAATCAACTGATTTAAATCGACCCGATTTAAATATTAACCCAACCCTAGTTTTCAATTATGAAAAAAAAGTAAATTGAGAACTGTATTATTTTACAGTGACAGGGGGGAAAGCAGACTTTTAAGCATGATTATATTAGTCTACTAAACCTTATCGCTCCGAAACCTTATATCCGTTTAAAATAAAACCAAGGAAAGGAATTCTGAAAGTATAAATATAAAAACTGAATGCATTATTTTGAAAAGTGATTTAAATCACTGATTTTTATTTTTTAAATCAAATTGATTAAAATTTTAAAAAAATCAACTGATTTTAATCAACCCAGCTCTGGTCTCAATTATGAAAAAAAAAGTAAATTGAATATACTGTATTATTTTACAGTGAAAGGGGGGAAATCAGACTTTTAAGCATGATTATATTAGTCTACTGAACTTTATATCTGTTTTATGAAACCAAGGAAAGGAATTCTGAATGTTGAAATGTGTAAAAACCGAATAAAAATTATTTTAAAAAAAAGTGATTTAAATGACTGATTTTTATTTTAAAAATCAAGTTGATTTAAATTTAAAAAATCAACTGATTTAAATCAACCCAACCCTGAATAATTGTCCTGTGCTTTCACTTGCGGAAAAAAAAGAAAGTTATACAAGCGTCTTGTCGGGCTCGACATCGTGACCGGTCAGTCAACCTGTACTTTCGCATCACATTGTGAATACCAGTGATCGTTGGGGTCACCTAAGTTCATTCAACGTGCGCGCTGCGCGAAGTATAGGGCTCCGGAATAGGGGGTTACCGTGTATCCAGCTGAAGCCCCCCCTCCCCCACGAAACTAAATACCCGTTTACCGTGTTCGTAGATAATGAGAGGTGCCCGGTTGCCGGTTAACATGTACGGACGTAGATATTGAGGCTACGCGCCCGGTTACCGTGTACATGGCATTGAGACTACACGCCCGGTTGCCGGTTACCGTGTACGTAGACACTGAGGCTACCGTACGTGCCCGGTTACCGTGTACGTAGACCCTGAGGCTACGTGCCCGGTTACCGTGTAGACCCTAAAGTATAATAAAGGCCTACAATTGCCATCCCGGAAGGACTTCCGTAACGAGCGACCACCCTAACAAACACAATAAAGACAAAGAAGAGACCTAGATCTAGATTCTAGATTTAGAATCTAGATACGAAGTGTATACAGACCCGGTAACCGGGAACAAAGGCACGAAGTATACAGACCCGGTAGTGGAACTCTTATGTGATTTCGGAAAGTTTCAGCGCCCAGACCCGGTAGTGTGTGTGTGTGTGTGTGTGTGTGTGTGCGTGTAGATAGAGAGAGAGGGGGAGAGAGGGAGAGAGAGAGAGAGAGAGAGAGAGAGAGCAGGGGAAAGTGCTAGCAAAATGTATATGACATGCCCCCGTTGGCAGGAGGGAACAAGAGAAAGAATGGGAAATAGGTGGGGAGAAAGAAAGACAGAGACAAACAAAGAAAAAGAGAATGCGAGCGATACACAGAGACAGAGGAGAGAGATAGAGAGATAGAGAGAGAGAGAGAAAGAGAGAGAGAGAAGGGGGGGGGGGGGTGGCAGAGAAATAAAGAGGGTGTCTGCTCGATTGAAATTATGGCATTGTTCTTTTCTTCAAATTGTGATTCCTCCAACTCCAAAATAGAGGAAAACGATTGTTCATCGAAAAGACATTCGCAATCTTCATTTAGATCTAGATCTAGAATCTAGGCTAGCCTCGAAACTAGATCAATGATTTATGTCTGTCTGTCTAGATGTAGACCTAGGCCATATATCTAGTCTTTCTAGAAGAGCCTTGGTAGTGTACATCTATGGCTCTACCCTGAGCGAAGAGGGCGTTGAAACTTTCAGAAATCACAAAAGAGTTCCCCTACCGGGTCTTTATACTTTGTGACTTTGTTCCCGGTTACCGGGTCTGTATACACTCCCATCTAGATATCTAACCCTCACCCAGTCCCAACCCCCATACTCCTACCCCTTAAACTGCTAAGGCGCCTAAGGGCTAAGCTAAACCCTAGATCTAGCCGTCTATTTATTATTATAACTATTCTACTTCTACTGTTTCATAGTGGTCGCTCGTTAAGGAAGTCCTCCCGCCATCACTAGACTAGATCTATCACATCGCGATACAACACAACACAATATTGACGATAATCAATGATAAAATGATGATAATCCAGAGAACTTTCGAATCCTCACACAAACAAAACAAACTTTGCATTCAATTCATCATCGTTCATAAAAAATGTCTTCAAAATGGTACCCCTGTAGACTAGATCTAGAATCTACCTGTAATTGTTGACTCTACAGTACAGCTCTAGATCTACATGACAAACAATCTTCAAATGTAACAAGAGCCTCAGTCCAGCATCTTTGTTTTGGACACCATCAGTGCCATTGATTTTGTTAGCACACTCTTTCTCAGAACCCACACGCTTCACTCGATTGAACTCAAACGCAAGCAACAAGCGGCAGGCAACCAATGAAACATTATTTTCGATTAGATTTCCTGTATGCCATTTTGTATAGCCCACTTGATATTCTGCCCCTCGGCGTTTTTACAAGATCTATATCTTTTTTAGTTACTATTCTAACGATGCATGGAGAGTAAAAATTTACCATGCAAAAATGAAGTACTAACACATTCATTGTGTCCTAAGCAAACCACAGAAAAGGTTTCTTAGAATGGCTTGAGGAAAAAAAAGATAATGATACTAATATTTTTGGCATTATCTGCCCACATAAAGTGAGATACCTGACAGTACAGAATTACGGTAATAATTTGCTCCAATGATCGATCAAGAAAGTAGGCCTAGGCTTGGCCAACGAAACGAAAGTTTTTCGTCAAACAAAAAACAACAACATGGCTATGACAAAAGAGTGAAGCGTGAGAGTTCTGAGAAAATTCCTATTAGAGGTTGGCCTTCAGTCTCTATTACATCTTATAAAACTAGATCTAGATCTAGACTAGAATGTAGTTTCGTTTGTTAAAGTCAAGGGGTTTCAGTGACAGGGGCAGGGGATCGTATACTTTAGCACGTTAAATTCTTCTTAAGCCGTACTTAATGACGGCTAGACTGGCAGTCTAGCCGGTGCCTTAATGACAGTGCATGTATTTTAAACCTCCTGTTTTCTAATGTTAATAGGGCCTAAGATAAGTACGGCTAGACTAAGCACGGCTAGACTTCTTGTCTAGCCGTACTAAGTACGGGTAGACAGCCAGGCTAGCCGTACTTAAGGACGGCTAGACTGTCAGGCTAGCCGTACATAATATTGATGGCTGAATTGTAAATGAAATTTTTAGTTTGCAATGCCTAAAGTATTTGTATTTTAGACAAAACCAAAAGGTGCCTTACTGACTTGCATGTATTTGAACCTGAATAATTACTAGAGTCTAGATCTAGATCGAATGAGACCTGTAGTGTGTACTTAGACTTAACAGGCTTGAGTCGATAGGGCCAAACCTAGATCTAAGTACGGCTAGACTGGCAGTCTAGCTACTTACACACTTCGATTCTTCAATTGATTTTATTCCCTTTTCCGTAACGAGCAACCACTTTAAAACATGGGTGATCTTATACTGTAGCACGTTAAATTCTTCAATTCCGAAACGAGCGACCACTTACAGATCTGGATCAAAATTCTATGTCATGTCATCAAGATTATATAATGAACTCAATGGCTTCCAAAATCATGATGGAAGACTGAAAACCACTGTTATACGATTTGTTCATGACAAAATTACGGTAGTTTGCACATTTTTAGGCCCAGTTCAAAGTTTTGAAGGTCTGAGTCGGTTATCAATAGACTTTGGGAATTCAACATGCTAAAGTATAAGATCACCAAAACATGATCTATATATCTAATCAAGATTATACTCACTGGCTTCCAAAATCACAATGGAAGACCGAAAACCACTGTTATACCATCTTTTCATGACAAAATTATGGTAGTTTGCGCATTTTTAGGCCCAGTTCAAAGTTTTGAAGGTCTGAGTCGGGGATTAGTATAGTAGACTTTGGGAATTTAACGTGACCGTAACATGTCTAGTGTCCATAGTGTTGTACCTCAAGCTTCTCTTCTTTCATTTTGAACCCTAAAACAAGCCAGATGGTTATCTCTGCGTCACATGCTGAGACCCTCGCCCTCCTTTGGTACAAAATCTAAAAGTGACATATAACGTCACTAAATTGGTCATGATTTAATCAAAACAAGTACCTTTTCTGATAGTTCTTCATTGAAGCAGAAAAACAATTTGATGTTGAAGTCGCCGTAAGGGAATGTGTGTTCCGACCAAAAGCCGCTGGGAGTAGCTTGCCCGAGAGTTAATGGACCATTCCATGAAAAATAAAACTGCAGTAACACATGTGACCCCCCCCCCCCCCCCCCCTCAGAGATCAAGAGTTAAAATAGCTTACGACTTTAAAAAACATAAAGTTTTTTAATTTCAAGGGTTTTAAGCAACACAGATGTCTCCCCTTTGTATTAGAGCTGTGCCTTTTAGACTTTACTAGGAGGGCTCTTGTGGCCTAGAGGTTAAGGTGTTCGCCTCTCATTCTAAAGTTCCGGGTTCAAATCCGGGTAGCGAGGGAAAAATTTCCTTCTCTAGAATTATCTCCTTTCACTTTCTTTCCTACTCTCTTGCAATATTCTGTCATTTGCTTTCGTCTCAACTTTCTTCCCCCACCCCCTCACCTCCTTTGCCCCTTCCATTGGGCTACTGACACTTTCTTCAGCCTTTCTGCTGATACTCCTTGGCGCCTTACTGCTGTCTTACGGCCATACCACTGATCGTCTTGTAGGAAAGATCTATGTCTAGCCTTCTCGGACAAGTGCGAAAAATCTCGGAGGTACCGTGTTCAAGTTGCGCACGTTAAAGATCCCTTGGTGGTCCAAAATCAATAACAGTAGGCTTCGGCTGCCACCCGGGCAAAATTCAAAATTTCCTACCAATTGAAAATGTTTGATATGTCCCGCACGCTCATATGACCTTATGCAGTTGCGAGCGCTGTAAAACACTTACAAAAAAAAAGAAAAAAGACTTTTCTATTCAACATTCATCATGACTTTTGAGCTATTCACAGCTGCTCTATTCGAAGTGTGGCTGAGTTATTCAGTGCTGTGTCAATTCTATTATAGAGTGGGTTTTCATTTTATTTTTTGTGAAACCTTCCTAAAAGTAAAACAGGATATAATCCATGTGGTAAATACAGCAATACTTTGCATTTGATGATTATGAGGCAGAGTGATAAGTGAAGCCAACAGGGGTTATAAAACATGCATTTTAGAAGTATTCAGTACTATTTGATATTATAGTAACACCATGAATAGCTCAAGAGTGCACGATTCTCAAAGTGGAATGACAACTTATCCGTAGTCTGGTGCAATGACCTCCTCTTTCCTATTTAAAAATTATCAAAGTATTATGAATGGTGATTTGACATCATTATGTTGCACTGCATGCATGCCATCATGAATATGTAGAGAATGTTGCGGATGGACTTAAATGTATAAGAAAACAGCCTTTACCTCATAGTATTCAATTAGCAAGAACAGTGTCTTTACATTTCAAGGTGTCAATTAAGTTATGTTTCCTCAAAATCACACAGTACTACTTGATGTCTTGCTATGTTTTTTTATATTTTTTTTTTTCATCGTTGCAGTTTCCACAAAGAAAAGATGGAAGATTGTCCGGCCCAAAGACTTCATGTGAGAGAGCTGAGCGAAGAGGAAAGAACCAAGTTGGAGGAAGACATCAATGTCATTTCGGACTTTAAACAGAATAAACTTGAGTTAGAGGCCAAGAAGAATTGGGACCTTTTCTATAAGAGAAACACTACAAAATTCTTCAAAGACAGACATTGGACAACAAGAGAGTTTGAAGAGTTGACAAGCAGTTGTGATAACAGTGATGTATGATCTTTATATATTGTGATAAACTTTGTATGGATCATTTCCTCCTGCTTTTTCTTTTTCAGCCTCTTTTTGTAACGGATGGCTGTGTATATTTTAATCCATCTTCATTCCCAGTTGTTCCTTCATTATCACATTGATCATTCTTATCCTTGCTTCTCCCATGAATCATAGATAATCTCCCTTTTAGCCTTTTTGTTTCTCTTTTACTGTATGATTTCTTCCATGACATCTTTTATGGGTGATTAATGGCAATGGGTTGATGTGCTCTGCTCCTTTTTAAAATTGTTAAAATCTTTTCTTCTTATAGAAGTGTGGCTTTTGGACTGTCATACACTGCTATGTTACCACACTCAACTTTTTTTTCATGTTCTTTACCTACTATCACTCCTGAACATAAATTTACTCTATCTCACTTTGTTCACTTTTCAGTGATTGTGCTTGCTTGCATTTGTTTTTTGTATCGGTAGATATTCCTTTTTTTTTTTTCTTGCCTTTTCTGTACATAAGTTAAGGGCTCTCATATTTGCCTTTTAAGAGCACAGGGAAATAAGCAAGTAGTGTTTTAGGTATCTTTTGGTAGTAAGTTCACTTTTACATTTCGGTCAAACCTTGTTTATACTGTCAGCATTGGCCCGTGTATGAAGCTGATGGTATGCAGGGATGTTGGTATAACAGGGTTTCAATGCTGTCCCTCTTAAAAAGCACATACTACTATTACATTAATGGAAATGATGGTGGACAATATTATAATTAGCTGCTCTATTTCCTTTTGCCTAAAACATGATGGCTGTCAGGCTTCCTACAGAGCCTTGTTTGGGAAAAGGCTTATTACCACCGCATAGCTACCAAATGGGTGCTGTGTGTAGTGTGTACTTCTTGCTGCCAGTTTGCTGGTGGTGCTGCTGGGCAAATTACCATTAGCCTTAGAATGACCATACAACTTGGGCTCATGATATGTCAGATAGCAGTTTAAAGGAGCAAATAGTATTACAAATGTCACTCCTTTTTGTGCTTTGGTGTAACCTGGCGATGAGAGGGGTTTGCAGTATGCCGGGTGTCAGGGGTGAGGGGGGGGGGGGGGGTGTAAAAGGGTACTCGTAAATGACAAATTTTACATGTCTTTTTCAGGATCATGCAGAAAGTCGCCGAAGAGTAATTTTTGAAGTTGGGTGTGGGGTCGGAAATTTCATGTTCCCATTGTTAGAAGAGGATCCCCATACCTACTTCTACGCTTGTGACTTCTCTCCAAGAGCTGTCGATTTTGTGAAGGTAAAAAGGCTTTGTACTGTGGTAACTTGTATGTAATTACAATGGGTTTTTTTTTTAATGGACCGTAGACAGGAATAATTCATTTCCAAGAATTCTTTTCTCCGTAAGACTGCCCGTTTGTAACATGATATATGTGAGGCGTGCTGACAAAATGAGTTACTTCTCACAATCTACAAAAGCTGATATTGGCCAAAAATCGACACTAGGGACACATTTCTAGGTTTTCTATTGATGCTATAGTCATTGAGTACTAAATGCCTTTTGTTAGTTCATGCTTATAAATTGTAAAAACTTAACCTATAAGCATGATAATGTATCTATTTTCATAGGGCTCAAATTCGAGAAGTAACTCATTTTGTCAGCACGCTTCACGTATGATAATGAATGATACTGGAATAGCAAGAGAATTCCAGAGTGTGTGGAGCAGACCTTGTCGTTATGCTAAAACTGTTTCTTGACTGAACATGAAAGTCCTTCAACCTAGATCAGGCTTGTCTTTCTCTTGTAAAATAATGATCTGATTTTGTAATGCTGGTTACTCTTATAATGACAGGCCAGTTTTGGAGGAATGAATGTAAACAAGTCATCACTTAAATTTCCTAACTTATTTTTAATATTCCTAATTAGAAATGTCACTGTTTCTGAGCATACTCAATGGTGTTGCTTCTCCTTTTTGCTTTTCATTAGAAACAATTACAAACAAACACACACACACACACACACACACACACACACGCATGCACGCACGCACACACGCACACACACACACACACACACACACACACACACACACGCTCTCACACACACACACATACACCCCCCCCCCCCCAAAAAAAAAAAAAAACCCAACTAAAAAACAGAATGGGGATCAAGGTTGGTTATTTATTTTTAGGATTTTCATCACCATTGGACTTTTCTTTATATCACAGAGCAATCCCCCTCTATAACAGCGATCGCTGCACAGCATTCCCTTGTGACATCACCCAAGATGACATCACAGCAACAGTGCCCCCTGCCTGTGTAGACATAAAACAACTCTCATATTTGTCCTCTCTGCCATACATCCTGAGAAAATGGTCCAAGCAATTGAAAAAATGTTGCAAAGGTTGGTAATACCTGTTGTGGTTTACTTCAGCCTCTCTGTGAAATAGTTTATTTGTTGTTGGGTTGTTTGTTTGTTTTTTGGGGGGGGAGTTGGGTTTTTTTGTGGGTTGTTTTTTTTTTTTTGGGGGGGGGGGTGGTGTATTAATATGTTTTCAGCAAATGGGAAAACACTCTTTCCTTAAATAATAATGAGGGCCTTTTTTTTGTTAATTTGTAGATTTGAATTAATGAATTCTAAACATCTGATTAGCTGAGGCTTTTTTTTTCCAGTTTTGTTTTGTCAATTTGGTTGATAAACTAGAAATAAGGAGCTCCTTTTCAGAATGCTTTTTGTGCCAGACAAGAGATTAATTACCTTTTTGGGGGGGGGGGGGCTGTCTTAGAAGCTGAAGTCTGGTGGTTTTAATACTTTTTTAAATCTACAGAACATGCTGCCCCCCACGATAACTGGCTAGATGCAAATTAATTCTTCTTTAACAAGTGCATTATAAACTCCAAGGTGATCAAAAGGGCAAAAGGCAATGGTGCAAACTGCCTGTCCAAGAGTTCTTTAAATATGTGCTTTTTTTTTCTTTTTCGAACAATATAATTAACTCAATAACTCTTAAAGGGAAAAGGTCTGTTAGAATAGAATAGAGAGTGTTTTGTTTATGGTTAACTTATCCTTCCTCCAATCGAAAGTTGGCAACGTTCTTTGTAATCATGACTACTTTGTCATTTGATTACTGAGCTTGGAGGCTGAGTCATTTGATTACTGAGTCTGCCTGAACCTTTTTAAAAATGTTAAATTCCAAATTCAATTGTTCTTTGTTCAGTTCTGTGTGCCTTCTTAATTAAATAAGAGCCTGTCATCTACATAGCATTGGTTCCAGTTGTTTCTGCTTCATAAAAGGTCCTTCAGAAGCTACATTTCCCTCATTGCATGAATACCAGCAAGCCAGGCAGGTCAGTATAAACATATTGCAAAGTGAAGCTTAAGTTCATATCTATGTGTCAGTGTCAGTGGCCAGATTTTATTTGCTGTATATTTCTTTTGTTTTGTTTTGTCTGAAATTATTGTGTAGTCCTAAGACATATTTATTGTGTTGTCCTAAGATGTAACAAATGACAAGTATTTTTACATATGTATCAATTTTTTTTGTAGCCAGTTTTCCTAACAATTTAGAATATATTTAAAGAGCAAATTTGCCCCGGGAACGACAGTGACTAGTGGAAGAGCCAAATGTCAAAGTTCTGACTGCTGTGATGGGAAGATTTGCAATGCCAATCGTATGCTGTGCTTTGGGTCAGAAATCGGGCTGCACTGAGGCACAGTTTCTTTGGGTCGATTGGGATTGGAGTTTGCCCTCTTCTAAGTATAGTATATTTCTTGACTGAACATGAAAGTCCTTCAACCTAGATCAGGCTTGTCTTTCTCTTGTAAAATAATGATCTGATTTTGTAATGCTGGTTACTCTTATAATGACAGGCGCCAGTTTTGGAAGAATGAATGTAAACAAGTCATCACTTAAATTTCCTAACTTATTTTTAATATTCTTAATTAGAAATGTCACTGTTTCTGAGCATACTCAATGGTGTTGCTTCTCCTTTTTGTTTTTCATTAGAAACAATTACAAACAAACACACACACACACACACACACACACACACACACACACACACACGCACACACACATACACACACACACACACACACACACACACACGCTCTCACACACACACACACACACACACACATACACCCCCCCCCAAAAAAAAACCAAAAAAAAAACCCAACTAAAAAACAGAATGGGGATCAAGGTTGGTTATTTATTTTTAGATTTTTCATCACCATTGTACTTTCTTTATATCACAGAGCAATCCCCTCTATAACAGCGATCGCTGCACAGCATTCCCTTGTGACATCACCCAAGATGACATCACAGCAACAGTGCCCCCTGCCTGTGTAGACATAACAACTCTCATATTTGTCCTCTCTGCCATACATCCTGAGAAAATGGTCCAAGCAATTGAAAATGTTGCAAAGGTTGGTAATACCTGTTGTGGTTTACTTCAGCCTCTCTGTGAAATAGTTTATTTGTTGTTGTGGGGGGTTTTTTTGGGGGGGGAGTTGGGTTTTTTTGTGGGTTGTTTTTTTTTTGGTTTTTTTTTGGGGGGGGGTGTATTAATATGTTTTCAGCAAATGGGAAAACACTCTTTCTTTAAATAATAATGAGGGCCTTTTTTTGTTAATTTGTAGATTTGAATTAATGAATTTTAAACATCTGATTAGCTGGGGCTTTTTTTTTTCCAGTTTTGTTTTGTCAGTTTGGTTGTCTAGACACTGGAGGGGTTGAACCCAAAAGCAAAAGTTCGATAAAAGTTGCTAAACGGGGGAAAAAATGTCAGGGTTTTTTTTTTCCATTATTTTGATGAGTGTCGATTTAATAAATTTATGTTTTTTCTTTCTGTTTGTTTTTTTCGCAGACCCTCAAACCAGGAGGAGTGCTCCTGATCCGCGACTATGGACTGTATGACTATGCCATGTTGAGGTTCTCCAAAGGGCACAAATTGTCAGAAAACTTCTATGTTAGACAGGATGGCACCAGAGCTTTTTATTTTTCCCTTGGTAAGTTCTGTCACATCTCAGCATTAAATATCTTAAATGGACGGGTGTTGAAGTATAAATAATGCAGGAACGTCAGTTTACTGGTGTGCACAGAACTCACCAAAATTGGTTGGTCTACTTATGTGGGTTGAAATAACACATGTCTATTCTGAAAATGTACCTAAGTGAAATTTCCAATGTCTTGGCCAGCTATTTAGATTCCTAGGGAATGTGTCAGATGCAAAGTCTCTTCCCAAGATCTCATCACTTATGATCTTGGTTTGCATAAGATCCCGCTGTTGTAAGAACTTTTACAATACGAAAGTCTTCCCTAAGTCCCATTTTGAAGGGACTAAATTCAACTAAGATCCCGCATTTCAGATCATAATTACGGAATAAAGACACAGGGACGCACACCTGATCAACCAAGCAGCTAAAATTGACGATCATTTTACTGCCTGTCACATTAGAGATCATCCATTCTCATTAAAGTAACTACAACTCCAATGCGAACTTGATAAGTGGGTACAATATATGCTCCAGACAGAATCACACTGAGGTGGGAACTCGCCTGTGCGTTAGTTTTCCGGAACATCCGCTCGCTCTCGAGCTCTCCGCCTGAATTTTTATTACAGGCTCAATGGGTAGGGCCTACAAGGCCACATCAGATGGGTCACATCAAATAGTGAACTCGTGGCTACTTTTGCTTCCCTGTCCATGCACTTGTCTTTCAGCTCTGCGGCTAAATTTGCTCGATGAACCTGCCTTTCATTCTCCAAATTTTAATTGGTGCAGTTACAAAACAATAATGTATTACGACTGAGTGGGAAACTCATTCAGAGATACAAATATCTATAAATTTTTGACAGGTAAAGGGGAGGAGCATGAGGTCAACCTAGATCTTGAGACTCTTGATTGGATAAGGGAAAATGACATGCCTCATCAGAATTAAGAGACTACTGTGATTGGTCATTAAGGTTAAGGTCCTCTTTTTTTTTTTTTTTAAGTTATAAGGGGTCACACCAGTACTTTTCAAAATGAGGGGAGATCATTTTACAGATCATGGGCCTACCGTGACTGACTGGCTTGATGATTTAGCCAAGATTTCACTCACCTAAGATCCCACATTTTCTGAGCTCCCAAGCACTGGTATCATAAGACGGAGACTACCGTAATTCTCATTTGGCACCTAGTTGTGTACTTTCGTTGTTGTTAATAAATAATGCATGTCCCCCAGTATGTGTCCAATTTCTTGCTGTTTATTTTATTCAGGATTTAGGTTCTTTTGGCCATCCTTCTTCATTTCAGTATTCTTTTTTATATTGATTGCTCTTTTCAGAAATTGTAAGAGTGAGCAGCAAAATTATGTTTTTATAAGTTAAGTTATTTTATTGTGTCTCGGTTATTCTCATGGCAGAATGGAAAAACAAAAGAGACTTATGATTGTAAGATGACAACTGTTTGTCAGCATTTTTGTATTTCGTACCTTGTTGTTGCTGGTCAGTTGTGCTTACTGGAGCAGTTTGACCTTCTCTTGTTTACATTTCCTATCAATACGCTGTTTTCCTTTCAATCAACTTTTTTTCTGAAATTTACTGAAATCTCATGTTTCCTACAGTTTTCATCACAATCTTCATTCCAATGGGTTTTTTCATTCCAATGGGTTTTTTAAAACTGTTTATTGTACTTCTTTCTATTGAACATGGTTTGTTATGGTACAGCATGCTTTTTATCTTTTTGTCCCCCAGAGAAACTGAACAGTATAATGTCACAGGCTGGTCTCCTGCAGATTCAGAGTAGCTACATCGAGAGAGCCACGGTCAATAAAAAAGAAGGCATCCATGTACCTCGGATTTTTGTTCAAGGCAAATACCGCAAGGCTTCCAGTGCTGGTGATGTTTTAGGGACCAGTGACAGACATAGTGATTCTAACACTTCCATGGAAAGCTCACGTCCCCCTGGGTGTGCTGACAGTTGTGAGAGCGACAAATTATCTGTTTGTTCTCCTAGCTCTGGTCTCTCTACAGTCAATGGAACAGTAGGAGCAGAAGACATTTCTTCAGTTGTGGAAAATTTGACTCTTCATAGCAATGCTGATGCTGACGACAGATGACAAATAACTACCTCTTAGATTTACCTGAAGTATAAATACTGCTGTTTCCAAAAGAAACTGTTATGTCTGTAGTATCAGCCTCGCTACAGTCCACTACGCTTTTGCTGAAGGAAGAAATGCAAAAGAAGAGATGTCTGTTTTGTTGATGCCATTTGATGCTGTTACACTAATGTTGTCATGTAATATTCTATTAAATATGTGCTGAGTAAAGACTTGGGTTTTTTGGTTGTATGCCATTGGGATAATTCTTACGTAACTTCTTCTTTTCAGTCTTGTCTTTGGCACGCTGATTATTCTTTCTTTCCGGAGGCTGTGGTCATAAAATACCAGACTCAGTTATTGTAATTTGATATAAGCTTATATGGTTTGCCAAAGGATTCCATACCTGGAAGGCATCACAGATGACTGTACAAATTAATGTACTTTGCATTCATCAAAAGTGACAGAGTCATATTTTTATCTCCTCAAAATATTTACTTCCATTTAGTTCATGTTTTTAAAATGAACTGTTCTGAAACATGGTAATCTTATTGACACTTTTAGCCTACTCTGATATATATATTTGACCTTTCAACAACAAAAAGGTGTTAAACTGATTTGTAATGTTCTTTTCATTTGCTGAGGCACATATAATTGGACAACAGAGCCAAGAGACCGTGGTTGGATTGACTTGGTTTTTTGTTGAAGATAATGGCCCCACTAGACACAATCTCTCTTTTGCCCATTTTAAACTCCTAGTGGAGCATAGGTCATCAACGACATTGCTCCAGCAAAGCCTGTCCTGAGCATCCTTTTCTAGCTGTTTCCATCATGTCCCAGCCTTTTCCATTTTTGCCTGTACGGCTCGCCTCCATGTCATTTTTGGTCTTCCTTTCTTTCGTTTTCCTTGTGGATTCCATGTCAAAGCATGTCTGGTGATGCTTGTTGGGGGTTTCCTCAGGGTGTGCCCAATCCATTTCCATTTCTTCACCTGTAAGTCTTCCTTTACTGGCCTCTGGCTTGTTCTTTCCCACAGTTGAGCATTTATGATTGAGACTCGATCATACCACTTGATCCCCGCTACAAATGTAACCTTCTAAGACATCCATTTATGAAGCTCTGCATTTTTTTTGCTGCTGATACACCAGACATAATGCAGAGCGTATATACAACTGGAAAGACAAGGAATATATTCTGACGTTTCCCGGATTGGGATCCCAAACCTTTAAGTTTTGTTCACAAGTTCATAATCAACTGTGCTCTGAGGGTAATCAATTCAGGTTAGATTCTGACCTAGTTTTTCTTGTCATCATCCAGTTTCAGCCAAGTGTTAGGATATCAAGTGCTCTGCTTTACAACTGGTAATTGCTAGTGTTCTGGTTATGAGCAAACAAATGGGGGAAAAAAATGAAGAACCAAATGTACATATTTTCCAAAGCAGATATTTTATTTACAAAACATTTGAATATTGATTTATGCAATTCACAATATTCACATCAACAATGTATAAAGTTAAGCACAGATAACTGCAAATCAACAGGTCATCTAGTCTGTTTCAGATTGGCCATCATAATGAAATAAATGAAATGTTAAGGGCACTCCAGCTTTATACCATGAAGCACTCAAAACTTGATTGCTTCGTTTTAAAAAAACAAAGTTTCCTCAAACTGAGATTTGGTTCACGATTTGTAATTCCCAGAAATTTAGACTTGATATAGACTGTAAAACGAATAAAGCTTGCTGTTGAGCGCAAAACAAAATATTGTTTATTATTTTGTATTATTATGAATAATCCCCTCGACATTCTAACTCAAGTACAGATCCCTGTGACAGATTTTTCTACTAACATGGTGTCAAATGAATATGAAACGAAGTGATGCCAGTGAATGAACAAAGCTCTGGTATGATTGACAAAAACATAAAGCCATCGCTATTTCTAACAGATAACCATGACACAGCAAGTTAGGGTTGGTGCATGCACTATGTATCAAAGGTAAACTTACACAACTACAACTGCACTATTTGAGGCCTAAGATGGGCAAGCTTGTTCTGTGGGAGGTGGAAACATTGTAAATGAAAGGGTGGACAGGCCAGTTGTGTTGTATAGACCACAAAATCCAAAGTCAAGTTTGTTTCTCTTGTTTCTTTCTTTAAAACACTTTGCGGTCACTCAGTACAAAATACCCCATCTGGTCACTGTGCCAGGAGAGTGACTGCAACGAACTTCTCAGGCCTGGCGCAGGTAATCGGAACGGATAATTTTCACAGTCGCATTATTGCGCCAAGTGAGCGCAAAGTGTTAATCAAACTATCGTGTTATGGCAAGTGGAAAGAAAGTGCCTTTTCTACTACTAAAATTGATACATGTAGCATGTTATAGCGTTTTGGCAACAATTATAATTATAGGACATCTCATTGCCAGAGACAAAGCATAGTTAGAGCTGAATTTTCAGAGAACAGATCACAATATACTAAATTAATATTACTTTATTTCTTACTTGGATTTCTAATGTACAACTTGTGGACTCTCTGGCCCTTCGCTTGTGTGGAGAGCTATGTCATGACAGTAACAGGACTTCTTTCTTACCGTCTTACTTACATACTAAACAAGTAAAAGACACAATACTGATGAAACAGATAGTTGATGGCTGTTCTCATATGATATGTTATTTCTACTTCATGTACTTAAAGAAAAAAACAAAAACAACTATTGTTATTATTGTCCTGATCTGTGTTTTGGCGAAATGAAGCTCAAATTTTGTTGACACACTATTAACTTGAACTGAACTGTACTTAAGATACAGCAGTTCCGAGACAAAGATTTCTGTCAATAAACTCAGTCAAGCACCATATCAATTGCATTCATAATTTACAGCTCAAAATGATGTATAATGTTATGCATGTATATGTTTGCTCAAAAATCCAAGAAAAAGCAATCATAACATGGTTTTGTACTAAAGTATAGCGTTACCCCCCCCCCCCCCCCCGTTCTCTCTCTCTCTCTCTCTCTCTCTCTCTCTCTCTCTCTCTCTCTCTCTCTCTCTCTCATTCTCTCTCTCTCTATCTCTCTCTCTCTATCTCTCTCTTTCTCTCTGCCCTTACTACCTGGGCAATAAGATAGAAGGAGGTGAAAAACAATGTCTGTTACTTTCCTCATCTGGAACAAGCACATGGTAGTCATACGACTTACAGGGGTGTTCACTTAATTAAACCGAAATTGGTTAATGGAAAAAAAAAGCAGTAACCCGAAAGAAAAGAAAAACTATCTTTTTTTGTTCTATTTGGGTAACCTCTTTAAACAGAAAATTGGTCTAAGCTGAAGAAAATATGGCAGTCCCTCGCAGAATTTTGATTTAATCCGACTTCACTGTACATACATGTAATGTATTTGACCAGAATATACACCTGTGCATGTAAAACCTATGAACATTTTTTGGGAAAGACATGTTGAGGTTCCAGCTATAGCCCCTTCTGGCTGTTATAGCACAGTTGGTTAATTAACTTGGCCTTCTTGAGGAGTTTCAGGGTTTGTAATTGACCGAAAACCGACATTTTTCTTGTCCTCCCAGCAAAGATTTTTCTGTCTGCAACATGTCCTAGCAGGGTTCCAAGTGTTCTGCCAATAAAAATGATCTACACTATATGAATCTTCAGGATTGTTTAAATTGCCATGTAAGAAAGGAAAAGCAGTAAACGCAGTCGTAACCATGCGAATATTTGTATTTATTTTTATCATTTAGAAGTTCTTTATTTTTGTGTTGAATTGATATAGTAATTGTAAAGAAAGTTTTACTCATAAGTTGACTACGAGCACTTTTCATAGGTAAAATTATTTAATGTAAAGTAAGCTTAAAGAATACAGAAGGTAGATGTACTATGATGAAAATTCGTAAAAATTGTTCCTGGCAGGAAGAGATAATTTCCCATAGTAACAATAAACAGTGTGTCTTAACCTTGCAACTTGCACACAAAACCCAGAGTTTCAACCTTCCATTGGAACGTTTACTGTATCATCTACCTGTCTGTTCTTCTGTTATACTTATATGGAACGCTGTGTCTGGCTCCACCAGGCGTTATCCCTGTTGGGCAGGGCTGAAGCGGCATTTCTTAAATGTTCTACAATGTAATGTATGGATGGGGGCATAAAACATTGACATTCAGCCCCTTGTCTCAGGACAAAAAGGACTAATGAATCTTTGCAATGTTTGTGTTGCTCTTCAATGTACAGAAGGACGGAGATGATAGGACCACCGTGCTTCCCTGAAGATACTCGCATAGTACCCCATCTTCTTCAGCACGTGATAACAAATTAATTAAATCGTCTCGGGTATCATGAATACTGAACATAAACCAGCAGTATACACAACATCAAAAACTCATGCTCATGATACAGTCTTACGCATAATACATAATATATTATTGAAGTTGAAATTTTGACTTGGATATTTGGCATCATGAAACGTCAGAATTGTATTGTGAGCAATTGACTTCTGTGAGGTTTTGTAGTGAGTGGCGTTATAGCTCATCCTGTTCACAAATTGCATTGTGTACCTATTACATGTAACAATTATAAAAATAATTTACTAGTACGTACATAACAGTGGACTCCGCTTAACCTAAACATGGTTATTAATTTGTAAACAGTGGTAAACCAAAAGAAAATAAAATCCCCGATTTTTTTCCTTCTACTTCTATCATTATGAGCAATCTCTCTATACCAAAAACCCAGCTAAACTGAAGAAATTCCAAAGGTCCCGCAGATTTTGGTTTAAGCAAACTCCACTGTGTATTTTAAAATATATGTTCAAAATATTTATTTTTAAAATACAAATAAAGGTTATTAAAAGATACTTTTTATGCTTAGCACACCATAACCACAACTATACACAAGCATTTGCACACATACGTTATATATTTAAAAGGCACTTTATAACATCATTTCATCATTCCAGAGATTTTTTAATCTCTTGTACTTGTTGTACACACATGCATCATGTACGCCTATATGATCATTATATTTATACTATTTTTTAATCATGTACCATTTATACATAAAAGACTCAGTCATTACAATGGTGGCAGTTGGTTAACTTTGCATGAAATTTACTGATACAAGTACATTATATGTACTTTGACAAGCAGCAGAAAACCACAACTATGTACCTGGTCTACAGTGTACCTCTGCTTTAGAGTCAAATAAGTGGCAGCTAGTTTCGATGTTTTATTTTGTTTCAAGTTTCCAACTGCATGGCAGAACTTGAGATTCGTTTATGTCTGCATTTCTGAGCCAGGCAAGCATTACATTTTCAAAAGTTTGTGGTTTTCATACACATACTATAATCATTCCAAAGCACCAGAGTTGTATTTGGACAATCTTTTCCAACAGAGGTTAACAAGTACTGTCTCATTTTCTTCTCACAATGAGCATACATTATAGATCTCATGCTCTGGGTATGGCCTGTATTAAAATGAAATGATAACAGATTCGTAGAAACCAGCATAAGTCTGCTTTGATCAAAATTTACCGTCGGAGAATTCTCACATTTTGCGTCTCCTTTCAAGTGCATCATGAACATATAATCATTTGAACCTGATAATTTTGAAGGGGCACTGCAAGTACACATCTACATCTATATTATAATAATATGGGTTATAAAAGACTGTTCAAGAGCCGAGACAGATCCATGTCCTTCCTGAACTTATCCTGAGCCTGCTGTGCTCGTTTTCTCTGTGACACACTCTCTATGGCACCAATTTACTAAACCTTACTGATTGTTCTTTCAGTTTGTCATGTAGTAATACGTATTATCTGGCTACCCACTTGCATCAAGGTACGTGGTTGAAGTGTCTGTAGTCAGGGTTGAAGTCGTCATCCAGGTCATGCACCACTTCCAAGTTGCCGATGGCGGGCTGTGAGCTGCTGCTGCTTTTACTGATGCTACCGCGGTTGCTGTTTCTGCTGCCTTGTCTGGCCAGACCACTGCTGCTGGCTTGAGACGTGCTGCTGCCGCTACTGTTGCTGCTGTAGCCACTGGCGGCACGAGAAGCCCATCTGTCTTCATCTTCCTCTGGGTCTATATGGATCTCCTGTACGGAAGTCTCACGTTTGCTGCGTCGTCCTCTGCGGAATTTCCTCTTGACGAAAGTCAGAAATTTCCTCGTCTCTTCGCTGATCTGGAAATTGAAAAGAGAAATACATGTAGCTGACCGTTAATCTAGTATCTGCGTTTGTCGCGCCGCGACCCGCGAATCGCGGCCGCGATTTTTTGGCATTTTTTGGTCCGCGAATCTCGGCCGTGATTTTTACATTTTTCAAAAAAGACAAAACAACAAAGCTACTTCATAACATACCAGACATGTGATTTGATACGTTTTAAGATGTCCTTGTGTATCTAGATCTATTTTCATGCAGAAAATATAAACATGTACATTACATTACTTACTATTTATATTGCTGTTTGTCTTTTATTTTTCCCTCTTTGTTGTGTTTTAATTTGTTGGTGTGTTAATTTTTATAAAAATTGTTCTGATTATTTGTTTTTCTTTTTGTATGTGTGTTTCACAGCGTAATGTCATTTAATTTGATGCTGTTCCTACCCTTTTAAAAATATAAATGTGTTATGTTAGAGCGTGTCTCCACCAAAACCGAATAATATCCTGTGGGCCTACTTTTTCTTGAATTACACACCTTTAGGGTTAAAACAGTCAATCTTCGGATAGGTGGACGCGCCCCAATTTGTTAATTTTTGTGGTGATTTATCCGTGCTGTTCTAATTTTGATTTCATTCTCTTGCGAAACCTTTATTTTTCACGATTTTATACACTGGGTGACTACAAATGATATACTGGATGCTTAAAACAGAGCACAAGAAATTCTGGTGCTTTAGATTGTTACCTCTATCAAATTGCTATATAAAAATACGTCGCCACAGAGAGTTGAAAGCTTGAAAATTAATGGCAACTGTTTTGGCAACTTTTGCCACTTTTTGTGGCAACGTTTGGCAACTTTTGCCACTTTTTGTGGCAACGTTTGGCAACTTTTGCCACTTTTTGTGGCAACGTTTGGCAACTTTTGGACAAAAAATGGCAACAAACACAGATGCTAGGTTATGCCTGTAGAAATGAGCATAGGTATGTGTCTGTTGTTCGAGGTATCGATGATGATCGGAATCTCTCTCTCTCTCTCTCTCTCTCTCTCTCTCTCTCTCTCTCTCTCTCTCTCCTCCTCCTCCTCCTCCTCCTTCTCTTCCTTTCATCGGTATCGGAGGTGTTAAGGCTAGGGTCTCCACAATTTTGTATGCTGAGGATGCGATTCAACTCCCAGATTAAGAAATTATTTTACCAATCATTATACATGTATTTCTATCTGTTTGCCGGGATGCCGTTTCCCATTATCAGCTCGGGCTGGCCCTTACATGCTGGGTTGAAGCGCAGTATCTATTCGGAGACCTCTCCGACGGAGATAGATCTATCAAAATGCTTTGTGCCTCTAGACCAAGTAAAAATATATGCACTCACTTGTTGTTTTGCTTCACTCAGCGAAGGTCTCCCCGCGACTCTCTTCTCCATCGTGACGGAAGGAGCGGGTGAACTTGTTCCGCTACTACTTCCTCCAGTCCAGATGACGTCTGATTTGGCCAGACTTCTTCGTATCGTCTCAGGGGCTAGATCTAAACCTGAGAGCACTTCGGAATCTGTTTCACTGGTATTTGTAGTTGCAGACTCGCTCTCGACGTCACAAGACTGGCTGTGTTGTAGCACCAATCGCGGGCGTGGAATTTCGCTTATCGGTGACGCGTTGTCTGCACACTCTGCGGCAGCGACGTCTTCTTGGCAGTCTTCAGCCGGGACTTCCGCTTCCTGCTGGGGAGGGTGGGAAAATTGAAAGAATTAGAGTCAGATTAACCTAGAAATAGAAGAGGATTAAGTCGCGGGTGGTGACGTGAGAGTGCACCTGATGCTTCTCGAAAAGAGGATTTATAAAAATGGGAGAAGGTCCCCTTAGTTGATAATTCTGCAGTTGCCACACTGAAGAGTTTAGTGTGTTCCACCCCCCCCCCCAAAAAAAAACAACAACGAAAAAACAAAACAAAAAACAAACACCCGACGGTACAACATAGTGTGGATCAGTCAGTTGTTTTAAGAGAATTTTTTCATTTGTTGATGTCGTTATTCTGTCAGCGTACTGTGTTCTTCTTTCGGCGTTCCTCCGTCTGTTGATGGGGTAACCCGAGAGAGAGGGGGGTTGTTTGTTTATGTGTTTGTTTGCTTGTTTGTTTGTTTGTTTGGGGGCAGGTTACGTTATGGACTCCGTGGGGGTTTTAACTTACACAAAAAGCTCTTTTGTTGGAGTGTTTTATTTTCTTACTTGAATATATTATTTTATAAATTCATAAGCGCACTCGCTCATGATCATTTCATTCGTTAATAATAATAATAATAATAATAATAATAATAATAATAATAATAATAATAATAATAATAATAATAGTAAATTGCATTTACATAGCGCATTTCCACAATACAAAGAACAAATGCAGCGCACAGCTCCTATAATAATCCTTTCTCTCTCTCTCTCTCTCTCTCTCTCTCTCTCTCTCTCTCTCTCTCTCTCTCTCTCTCTCTCTCTCTCTCTCTCTCTCTCTCTCTCCCTCTCTCTCTCCCTCTCTCCAGTACATCCTTGAGTAAAGACAATCCCACATAGCTTATCCAGACACCCTCACACACATTGATGAATTCACAGTCATAAATCTTTACAGAACAGCATGAATTTAAAACGATACTGAGAGAACATTATATATACTGAGAGAATATAATAATATTTGTATTGGGAATGTCGGAAATTACAGATTGAAGCTGGACTGAAACAAATGCGTTTTAAGTGCTGATTTAAATTAAAGTTCTTTCAATCATCCAGTAATGGCGGGTGGTTGGAGGGCGCCAAGGTTGGGCCCTATTTTTCTATTTTCCCTCCATTGTTTTTGTCAGTCTGGCATAAATTTTCTTCTCTACTAAGTGACCATTATTGTGTGGACGTGTTTCTCTTTACTCAAACAAACAAACAAATCCAGTAATGGACGTGGCAGAATACTTCCGAGTACAATATCATATAAGCTCCTCGTTGTTCTGAAGTGGAGTGCGGTATTATTTGATACAAAGCATCTTCAAACTATACTATACTATACAATAGTGTGTGTGGGGGAATATGGAGGACATTTCCACTATACAGTCTAAATCTTTATAACAATACTGATAACTTGAAAGGGAACTCTGACACAATTATAAATGGAGAAGTATGGAAACATGATAAAAATAATTTAATAGTACATGTAATATAAAACATCTGCTAAACATAGAAATCGGTAGGTAATCTCCAACACTAAAATATAAGGTTTACTTACGATATTGCTATATCCTGTTTAAGTTGTTGGCTTCTACATGTATATAGGACTTTAATAACTGAAAGAGAGAATTATGCAAACATTTGGGACTTTAAATACTTTAGCACTGCCCTATTTCTGTGAAAGATTGGTTATTGCTGATTGGCAGATCCCACCCCACCCACACCATTAATGGCTTCTATATTCTTGCGTCAAACTGACCTTTCCCTCTAGATCGGGTTAAATGAGGATAGGCACAATAGCCCGGATTACCGCAACTGGATTAATGAAGGAACGTTATAGTTATGCTGACAATCAACAACAACCTTGTTTGGTACAAGCAGCTGGAGTAGTCGTTATTGAGTTGGAATTCACGGTTTATTGGTTACACGGTCGTTTTTCGCCAAGGGTCATTTACTTTGATAATTCGCTCTTCACACCCGTGCAACTACAAAGAATGTTGTTTCTCCCGAAGCATTAATTGCTCTGCATGTGACCTTTACAATACAAGAGTAAATCACTTTAGGACTAAGAAACAGAAGTGCACCTGATGCGAGAAATGAAGTAACGATACAGACCATACGCTCTAAAGAATGCAGGCCCGATATACGGTATCCACTTTGTTCCGGTGCAAAAGAAAAACAGATTACTGTAAAATCCAATGTGTAAATCACAGTACCTCTGCCCGCAGATCCTTGCCTGGGGGTAGTCTACGCCCACGTTTTACACCTTAGAACTGGGAAATTACAGAAGTTGTAGGCCTACTATATAAGTGCAAAACTGAAACAAGCAATTGGGAATGGCTACGCATCGACGGTGAATTGGTGAACCCTATTATTATCACTATCAACCGGCTGAGTTTCTTTGCCCCCC